CTAGCTTTCAATAGGCCATTGATGATGTTGGAATGCAGACTTTCTAGATGCAACATGGATGTAGGAATCTTGGAGGGAATAGTCCAAGCGGCAGTGTTTAACACTTAGAGTCAGACCAATACATTAGTTATAAGCAGAAGTAGCAAAGTAGTAGAGTATTTTTATTACATGTGTGGACTCTCTGATTATAGATATTTATCATGGTATTCACAGGAGTTAAAAGACACAAAAAACTTACTAAAATATTCATCTTTCTAAAAGACAAAATTCTTGGTGTGGTGACCTAGAACCTGACTTGAATGAACACTTCAGGAATGGTTTGAATTTGCAGACCTAGTGGCCAAGTCCTCATAAAAGTGAGTCCTGAAATATGACCATAATCATTTGCTTAAATGTCCTTTGAGCTTTCTCCAAAAGGACCGGCAGCCATCACTAACAAGGGTGGAAATGTACATTGAGCAGGGAAATGCCCAGAATATTTATGGATTACTAAACATTGTCTCTAAATTTATGTTAAATTATAGGCACCCAAAAATTCTACTGAAACTTATCAGAGAAAACAAGGATGATAGTGAGGATTACAGTGCTCAAGTAATACAGAACCAGGACAAGAATGGCACAATTTAGACACTGTAAAGCCTACAATTTTAGGGTGTGCTTACAGATTTACACAAGTGCCGTATCTGCCTCAGGGTTCAATCGTAAGTTTACAAGTGGAGTTTTGGACAAAGCTCATTCCCCTTACAGGGTTTATGGATGGTTATCGCCTTGTCATCTGTATCTATAATTCGAATTTATACAGCAACTGTTAGGTTCCACAAGTTGACCTCTGCCCCATGAACTAAGAGGTATTCTGGCAAGTACATTATACTGCTAGAACTATCCCATTGCTGAGCCTAAAGTAGCACTGTAGCTCTATAGAAACTGCAGATTAATGCCACGGTGAAAAACTTGAAATCTGCAGGGGTAGTGATTTCCATTATGTCCTCATTTAATTCATTCATTGGGATTTTGAAGAAGATGGATATATCTTAGAGAATTACAGTGGAATATCTTAAATGTAATTAGACATTGATTCTAATTGCAGCTGTGGTTCCAGATGTGGTTTCTCTGCTGAGGCAAATCAACACTGCTCATTGGATCTGATGCACAGTAATTGGCCTGGAAAATGATTTTATCTTTGTAACAATATGCAGAGATCACCGTCAATAGTATTCTTTTCTCTAACAGGATCAACAGAGCATCTTCGTATATCTTCCTTAGGATTATGTCAACATTCCTTCTCTCTGCGTTAATGTAGTCCTTAAACATTATGGTGATACTAATCTTGGCTGGCTTATTTGGATTTGGGAGACAACATAAACTATATCTAAGTTTGATACTCCACTGTATCTATTGAATAACTCAAAAAGCTTTTCATAGCAAGAAAAGACTAATTATGCTCCAGTAAAAACTATTCTGCTACTTGAGGCCAGTGACCCAGGAGACCCAATAATATTTGAGGTATCTGGAAATAGGCTTATGGAGCTCCTGACAAATCCTTATGGGGAAATCAGTTACAATTTCTGAGGTTTGGAACAAAGAAGCTACATCACCTTCTGCAGGTAACATATCTCTTTTTGAAAATCAGTTCCTGGAAAGGTATCAAGCCTTGATAGAGTCAGATATCTTACAATGAGCCATCAAGTGACCATGACACTTTAGCCGCCGTTTAAGGGAGGGCTGGAGAATGGAGAAAAAAATAAGAACCACAATAGATTACATAAAGATACAAATTCCCAGTGATGAATGTCATTATATTGCACACCTAAAATGAACCATTGAAATTAGTAAAAATATTAAAATAAAAAAGAATTTATCATTAATAGAAGAAATGTCTGAGGTCAGATGTAAGAAGATGCAGAAGGTATAATAGATCTCTCAGACTTTTACTTCTCATATAATTCGTAGGGGACAGCTCAGAATACTCAGGGAGACTAGATGATCCATGTTCTGATTGCCAGTTTGCTTCTTTCCTGTTTACTCAGTGCACCCATGGAGAGAGAGTGCCTATGGCAATTAAAATACAGACTACTCCTTTCTCAGCAGACAGATAGTGCTTACCAGGAGTGGTGCAATATTTTTCAGTCCTGAGTAACTAACTTGATAACTACAATGATCAAGGATATGTACACTGGAGAGGGGGAGAGAGCCACACTTGGCAAAGCTTGACTACATTAGACCCCATTTGATTATATAAAAATAAGTTAAATATATTAAAGGCTATGGACTTCATTACATTGATTTTTTTTATTCAAGCTAGAAACCTACATGTATCGTTGATTTCCATAGCTCTCTTGCTAGGTAGCTATTCACTGTCTCTCTATCTCATTTGTTTTATAGCTAGAGGGAATTTATTTGACATTCTTTACATATGTACTTCGTGATTTTGTCAGACAGTGTCCCCGTTTTATCCAATTTTCAAGACATTTGAAGTATGATCATTTTTAATTTCTGATAAGAGTTTATATGTATTTATAGCATAAAAGTACTGAATCTGTCTTGTTCGCACATAAGTGCATATCTACCCCTGCCCTGCAAAAGTGTGCTTCCCATGAGGCATTGTTAATGATACTCATTACTGTGTCCTATCCTTCTGCCCCCATGTCAAGCCAAGGATGGTTACATCATTAGTTTCCAATGTATATTCACAGAGTGAGTGAAATACACCCACTTTTCATTTTTTAAAATTTTATTATTGCATTAAATGACAGTGACACTGGAGGCTGTAGATCAATTTGAATAATGAGTGTAAAGCAGTGTGAGGTATGAAGTATAAATAAACATTTGTCTAAAAGTCAAAGGTTTAACCAGGAGATTTGCTGGTTGAGTGACCTTGACAAAGCCATTTAATTTGCCTAAGCTTTTATTTTGATTCTTTCTTTTCTAAGAGGCAGCCTCTTTTAATATTACATTTCCACTGTTTCATGACTTACTTTAAAAAAAAGTAAATTGTTCTATAGAAATAATTAACTTTTAAAATTTCCTTATATTCTTTATTCTCACATACATTAGAATAATTGCTTAAATAATGCAGATAAAAGCTTTCTTTTTTTCTCTTGAAAATGATCAATGCTCGAAACTTTGCTAGAATGGAAAACATAAATCTTTAAATAATGTAATATGCACTCATACATATAAATATGCAAATTTTAAATTAGATTAATTTGAAACAGAAAGTATTTATACCATGCTATTATAAAGAACTCACCCTATATCTTGAATCACTAAAGTGACAAAGAACAAAGTCATGCTATATTCTCCTATTTTCTTTAATTGGAAAAAATCAGTTATAAAGAACTTGATACGTGTTATAATTCATTTCACTGACATAAGAGTACATGTGTTTTTCACCCTTTGCTTATCTAGGTGTTTTAAACTTTGCCCTGGGCCCAAAGCAGGCATTAAGAGAAATGTGTCCCTGCAATACACATTTTTTGACTCCAACCATATACAATTACTTTTATAGACTTGCATTTACTGAACTGATGGTATGCCATTAACATGCTATGAAGAATTCTACAAGAAAAGTATGAAATTTATCATTGGTGTCTGGTGGAAAGAATGCTCTTGCTATTTTCTTTATTGTGCTACTCAGTGCATTGTCCACGGTCCAGCGACACTTAACATTATCCAGACTCAGAACCGCAGCCCGCATCATAGGCCCAATGAGTCAGAGTCCAACTAAGATCCCCAGGTATTCCTGTGCCTATTCTGTGTGGGACCCAAAGGGCACCATCATCTAATAGTCCCATTCTTATGAGATTCTTCACAGAATAACACACTTAATGAAGATAATACCTCTGCTTTTTCAAACAGGAGTGTCATGTTCTTTTTACTCTTTTGAATACTGTAAATTTTTACACTTTTTGAGTACTGCTTCTTTCTTTGCACTGGCCATATCTTGAGGCCTATCTTACCAGTTCTGATGGCCCTTTATGAAAGAGCCTCTATTATCTTTCTTTGTTGTTATTATTCATTTATATGTCTTCCATATATTTCTTTTGCCCTCATACATTTAATTTTAAAAATTGTCCTCAAATCGTGGGATGAGCAAAAAGATAAAAAAAAAATAAATAAATAAACAGCCTAAATATTTCCAAGAGTTGTTACATAGTTTGAACATTGCAAACCTACACTCTCCTGTAGTATCATAAATAATATTCATTGAAGAGCTGGGACACTCTGGGGGTTACAGTGATCAGCAGAGTATTAATTATACTCAACATACTATACTGTACTTACTGAGCCAGAAAGACAGACTAATGTGTTTTATAAAGATTTTAAACAAGAGTGTAAATCCCAGAAGACTTCTGACTAAATCAGATCATGCACTTCAGTTAAAGCATCCTATTTTATGAGAACACTGTGGAGTATCAGAGTTTTAAGTTTTTCTTTTTTGTAGACAATTTATTTCTCTAGATATTTTAAACAGAGGTAAAATAATTTTCTAAGGATTTTGAAATCATTTACACTCAATATGTACTGATGAAACAAGTAGCAGGTAAATTCTGAGCTAATGTCAGGCTATATATCTTGCTCAGCAGGCAGCCAAATAGTTGAACATACTGCCTCAGGAGGCCATTGAACCAACTATGGTGGCTGAATAATTTTATGACCAGTAATAAGACTCACAAGTTATACACGCTAAGAGAGGGGTAATCAAATCTTATGCTTCAGGGCATAAATTAATCACTGCAGGGGTCAGAAAAGAATCTTCTTTGCTCTATGAGCAGAATTGAATAATTAGGCAATGGCCGTATTGATATTTTCAAAGGTTTCTTAAACATCAGCATTAGTTTTAAGAACAATTCGGAGATTTTAGCGGGGGCAGTGTTTGCACCTTTGATTAGGGAAGGAGGGAGCTGCAAGTTGAACCATTTATTCTGGCAGACAGATACGTTGGGCAGCTTCTTGATACCACACTGTTCAACTTGATTTTCATTAAAAGATCAAAGTACCTGCTGTTAAAATGACTCCAGGCAGCTCAGACAAATGGGCCTCTTGCTATCTGGAAAGCTTGAGATGGATTTTTATCTTTTAATCCAGACCCTGTGTAAGGAGCAAGTGGGGGGTGGTTTAATAAGGCGTGAGGCTCATTCTCTATCTTGTAGAAATTCACATTTTACATTTTAAAGAAATACATTTTTCTAGGATTTGGGAATCAGACCTTGAACTCTTTTTCAGGAAAACAGGCGCAGGGGCAAACCTGGTCATCAAATGGCATTGAAGGCCAAGTGCAATCAACTTCCATCCACATAAATCTTTTCAGGTTTGATCACACGGTTATTGAACAAAGCATGTCTCTTTCACTTTGAAATCAGTCAAATAATAATGCTTGGCAATAGTATGATTTTTCACAATTTTTTTTTTAGTATCCTTAACATGGGTCAACCATTTATGCAAGCATCTTTTTCCTTTGAAAGTTCATAATCTGGCTGGGAATTTAGGATATACCTGTAAGTGCAGTTACTCCATAAGCTGCGAGATCCTGTGTCCAGCCAAATGGTATCAGAACAGTGTGGCAGTTTTAGTTCTACAAGTAAGACTGCAGCAGGTCCTGAAGAGTACAAATGTTGTGTAGGGCTACAGGAAGACAGCAATTATGTATGGGCACAGGTGTGTGTGTGTGTGTGTGTGTGTGTGAGCGCACACACACACCTGTGAACACGCACACAGTGGAGGATAGAGACTGCAGTAGAATAAGCAAGGACTTGAATTCAAGCAGAACCTGAGAATGGACTGAGGAAACCAGAATGTAAAACGTAGTGAGGAATAGGGGTAGAGAGGAACCTTACTTTGGAGGAACTTGAATGCTAGGCTAGTTTATATTGTAGAGATTATCAAACCATTGTGGAAAGAAAATCTTGGCAAGAATAATTTGGTCATTGTGGAAGCTGGATTACAGTAGATAAGGGCGAAGGTCAGGAATTTTGGCTTGAATATCATCCCACAGGGAAAATTATACTTAGATTATATGCTATTCGTTGAAGTTTTACAATCAGAATTCTACTTGGCTATCTTATCTTTGCTGTTTTCTCTAAAAAATTAAGTTTGATTTTGCCAGAATAGAGATGGGGCTTGATTTCCTGGGTATATGCTAGTGTGACCATGCCACTGGATTCAAACATCTTTATGTTTAGAATAATAACATATACAGTTGCGTATGTGTTCCTAAATCAGTGTTGAATTCAGCATGCTTTATTTCAGGACCTTTCTTTCCCTTCCCCTTCCACTTTTTCTTCACCCTTCCCCCTCCTTTTCTCCTTTTTCCCATCCCCTTTCCTGTCCTATCCTTTCTCCTTTTATTCTGCAACATATCCAATATTTTTACAAAGCTGTTCTCTTGAATTACATTACATATCTCATCTAGTTAATAAATCTTAGTGTTAGCAACTATCACAACTCCACCTAATTTCATTTTGCTACATTTTCCTGGAACTCTAAGATTGCAAAGTAAATCAACTTCTCTGACAAATGAGCAAGCAGTTCAAACTCCTTCAAAAAGTCAATTACTGTGGGTTGAGTGTCCACCGAATGAAGAATTCTTTTCTCATAAAATGTGTCTTGGGAAGATACAAAGGATTAGGTGAACACTTCATCCTTAGTAAGATTGCAATCAAATAAAGGAAAGAAGAAAAGCACAAATTAAAAATTAGAGGATAACTCCCCCCCAAAATGCTGACATAATAATAATAACCCAGTTCTGAATCAGATGATTACTCTGAGCAGATTCTGTACAAACATTATCTCCTGTATTTATTTTGTCAGCCCTGTGAGTGATATTCTTAGTGTCCTTACTTTTGCAAGTGAAGAATCAGGCTTAGAGAAGTCAGTCGCTTTATGGTCTCACCACAAGTACAAGGCAGATCCAACATTTGAACTCATGACTCTTAGCTCTTCAGTCAGGCCTCTCTTCAGGCTGCTGTAATCAGTTATGAAAATGCAACTTGTAAAAGGGTTTCTTTCATAACTCCAAACAGAAGTGGTTTGGGAATGTTATGTAACCCTCTGATTGAGTTGTGGAAAAAAAAACCCCACAGTCTTGATCAGGGTCCTCAGGACAGCACGGGAATTGAGGGCAATGATAGACTTGCAATTACAAGGCTAAAGCCTACAAGTGTGGAACATGAAGTGGGATACAAGGTGAAGGGCGATGTGTCCTCAGACATCCTTGCAGTACTTGGATTGCAACGATATTTAGAAAGCTTGGTGCAAAACATGAAATCTAATTGATGTACACACATTGAGGTGAAGGTGCCACTGTTACAGATTTCATGTGACAAAGACACGAGAGAGAAAGTAGATGGGAGAAAGAGCCAGCACTTTTGTTGTTAAAAAAATTACAAAACTCAAATTATTCTTAAAACTATCTTTACAGAGCTATGTGAATATCAGATGGACTTTATAGCTAGAAGTTTCAAGGCACCCTCTTTGCACATCACGTACCCTCAAACTTCAGAAAAGTCCCACATAAATTTATCTCTATGATGGCCCTAAATATACCTTTGCTTTGCAATTTTCTGTCTAAAAATGGTTGGGGCAGGATGTGGTGGCACACACACCTGTAATCCCACCACTCATGGGGTCTGAGGAGGGAGGACTGCTGTGAGTTCAAGTCCAGCCTGCGCTATATAATGAGTTTAAGGCCATCCTGCACATAGCAAAATCCTGCCTTACCCTCACCTGCAAAAAGTGGTTGGGGAGTGAGTTTAGTTAACAAAAATCTTCCCAAACTGTGGACCTTGGGATTAGGATTAATAGGTCAAAGGGAGGTGACGCTACCTTTGCTTCACAATTTTATGTCAAGGGCAGTTTGATAAAAATATTTGCTTAGAAAATTTACAATTGAATTTATAACTAAATATTGGATGGTTTTGGTCCAATTGATTGTAATATGTGAAAAGACATCTACATGTATGTTATAGAAGCATAACTATCAAAGATTTTAGAAATTTTAAATGTGTAAAATAGCTGTTTCTGCCCCAGAAAAAAATGGCTATAATGAAGAGATTGAATAAGAACAAATACTGCAGAAAAAAGACTCTCCTACATTGCTCATGGGACAACCACCAGGGAAATAAATATGGAGAATCCTCAAAAAACTGAAAGTAGAAATTCCATTAAACTCTTCCAGGTATCTCTCTGAAAGAGTTAAAGATCTCATATTGCAGCAATACATGCATAACCATATATAGCAGCACAACTCATAGTAGCTATATCTTGCAAATGGCATTTATGTACATAAACATTTGAAAGGATGAAGAAAATGTAGAATTAACACAAAGTGAAGTACAACTTTGTCATAAAAAAGGATAAATAATTTATTGAAAAATGGATATATCTTGAGGTCATTAGTATTAAGTACAATGAATCAGACATGCAAAAATAAATACCTCATGGTTTCCCTTATATAAGAAACCCAGAGTGGAAATAATTTAAACAACAAAATAAAGGATGGCCCAGCATTAAACTGTTTTAATATTTATGTAACAGATGATAAACAACAGGCCTCTGAGCCATCTAGGTGCTCTCCCAGCCCACTTAGTGTGGGCACTTTGGCCTCTGGCCCTTTCCCCAGAATCACTTGTTCACCCCCAAGATCTAGAATTCAAAGGGTTGACTATCACAGCAGGAAGGCTCCTGGATAGCACCCCGGTGGCCCAATATTAACCTTTATGTTATGCAGTTGTTAACCATTTTGAATTGTGACATGCAAAAGTCATTGGCACAAAGTGATTGAAAATATCCTAATTTCTTCTCTTGCTCAAGCTATCCTGTTTCTGTGAAGGCTTTCCCCTGCTTCTTTTCATTCTTTCATAGGTTGTAAAGGATCATGAACACATGCCTTCAGCAATGATACATTCCTCCCTGGAAGAGTGTCCCTGGATATATTACAGTGGACCTTTGAGTTTTGACTGGCCTGACATGAAGAACTTGAATTATAACTGGAATTTTAGTTTTAACTTATCACCAAAGTCTTGAATTACCATCGGAATGCTGGTCCCTTGTGCTTACAGATGGTCCCAGTTATAGATTTAATCCTTAAGAAGTTCTGGAAGGAACATTACAATGTCGTTTCCTGTGTGGAGTTAATTGAGAAATCCCGGAACAGTATCTATCTAAGGACACTGTCTGTTTACAGGAGAGAGGCTTTGAAGGCTGTGTAGAGGAGCCCGAGCCTTCAGTTGACCAACTTGAGTTATAACTAGCACTTTCAAACAGAATGAATTAGTAAGTCAAGGGTCCACTGTATCTGCTTGCCCTATTCACAGTTGTAAAATAAAGGTGGATATTGATCGGTTATTATTTGCTGTGTATGTTTTCTACTGCAGAAAAGTTATAACATTGTTGAAAATAAATATGAAAATGGACTGAGTTTCAGTGAGCCCAATTGCAAAATTTACTTGGGATTCAACTGAATGTGTGTGTGTAATTTTACTACCTTAGGTGAATCTGAAGAGATTCCTGAAGCTCCATCGCTGAACTAATTAGAGCCTTGACTCATTTATAGAGGACGGGGATCTAAGTATCCTTTGTGACTTGCATATCTGTTAGTTAATGAATGTGTCTCTACTTCCTGGACCACAACAACTAAAAAGAAGTCTGTTGGAATAGTGGTCATAGTTAGACTCCTCTCTTAGGGTGGTTGGCCCCTTCCTTGTTTATGCAATGCGTAATAAACTTAATTTGCTACCACTTGTTAATATGATTTAATAATTAAAAACTTCTTATTTTAAGAGCATTTGTATCTAGTTCAAAATGCCATTCAGAGTAGTGCATTTTAGATTTTTCTAAAAAATATTAAGCCATAAAATAAAAAATTGGATTTTGTATATATGTATATACATGGACGTGTAGATATATAAACATAGATGTATAGAATATACACAAACAAATTAAGTATACATAAACAAGATTGCGCAGATCTATACATAGACTCATTAATTTTGACTCAATAGGTCAGGGTTTAAAAAGTCATGCTGAATATATAATATTATATGAAAGTATTCCTGGCACAATATTTCTTTAGGTGCTTATAACATTCCCTATGATTGGAAATGGCCTTTTCTTTGCATTTTTGCCTGAAATACATTGCTCACTCTCAAAATAGGATATTTATGCAGTCATTCTTAATGTGAAAAAGAGCTCTTTCTTTGCACATATTATATGTAAAGCAGATTTGAACTCCGCTTTTGATTAAAATATAGTGGTGTGGTCTTCTGGCTCAGTTCTAATTGCATTTAAAATTCTTTTCTGCACCTATACAGAAGATCACAACCCAATATTAATAAAGTAGGCTTACAGCAGTATCGCACCTGAGCAATTGGTTCTTGACAAATGTTATTTACCTAAGTAGAGTTTCATTTCAAAGTTAACTTGTCTCTGTGCTACTTGAATAAAGCACTCTGAAAACCGTTAGCCATTTTAACCCAATTTAATTTATTCCCTGAAAGTTTAATCCCCCGCTGAAAAGAGTAGTTGCAAATTTTCCAGAGTTATAATTCACTGAAGTGAAAAACATTTAATGACATCATAGGTACTGAGCTTCAAGAGTTCAGTTAAAAATCTTCCTCAAAATGTAAAATGGGGGGCAACAGTTAATAAGATATTATATATAGTTACATTTCAATCCTATTCCAAATCTTTCTAAAGCCACGTGCATCTCTACCATTAAAACTGTATGAAATGAGTTACTTAGACATTTCCAGGGAGTAAGAGTAGGAGGGAAAACATTTTAAGCCACAAAAGCAAATCTTTTCTGAGCTTTGACATGTAAGTGGCTCACTCAGTCATTTTATGTTTCCTAAAACTCTCTTTGTAATCACATCCACCAAAGCAATGTTAGGTGCCAACATCTCACACTTTCCACTCTCCCTATATGAGACAGCAGCCTGCCTTTCAAAGCACAGAAAGCTGTGGCACTCACATAACATCAATCCAGATTGGATTTTATACAGTAAATTGTGTTAACAGAGGTCTACTTATCTGTTATTGAAATATTTTTGGTCTGACTGCCAGAGACTGAGGATAAAAACGTGGGAGGAGAGAAAATAAAATCTGAATTGACTTTGTTTTTGGCACCGTCGAAAGCATTTTGGTCCCCTTTATAATCTCTTAAAAATCTAATTATTCCTTTGGCAGATTTACCTCTATAGTACAACTGGATGGTTGTTTAAAATATGCAAAGTGCAGATTTCAGACTTAATAGGAGATAATGACTGCTTTATAGCCTGTGGGTCAAGGCCTGTTTGGCCTAGTTACAGAGCTATTGCTTCATGGTTCAGTACTTGGAGAGCTGCTCATGGCTCCAGGCCAGCAGAGGTGTCGCTGACATAATGGAAAGTAAGGGTTTCTCTGAAACTCTAATGGGATGCTCTGTAGAGCGTAGATCAAAGTGTCATGGCTTCCATATTGCCGCCCTGATGGGGACTTCAGGTTTTTTTTCTTCTTGTGTTATTTTAAACATTTCAAAAAAAAATCTATGTCACCATCATAATTTCACTTTCCTAAGCTATTATCAATAAAAATTATATTTGGAGCATATTCACTTCAAAAAGACAGCAGTTCTTTAGTAGTCAGAATACTTGGAAAGTCACCATCTAGGCGGTTCCAACAGATACTACACCATGCAACCTAAAATGTGCAGTATTTCTATCTAATTTAAACTATGGAAATGAAATTCTCGTGCAAAGTTAACTACATGGAGCAATATAGCCATATTGATGAGTAAAAATCAAGTTAAATTAAATGTTATTAAGATCTCCCATGCATTGAGAGGAAACACTTCACATAAATTGCCCATAAAGTTGAAGATAATTCTAGGACAAGAGTGTTAATTTCCAGATTGAGAAAATTTAGGTTCAATAAATTATGGCTTTGCAATTAATTATCATTTGGCCATGAAGTCCTTGCTGGATGCAA